TGATGTAAATACAGTCCTAAGTAGCTACACTGTTGTCAGATAATCATAATTGCAGCAAAAATGCAAATATATTTGTTTAGACTCCTGCTGCAAGCTCGGAGCAGTTCTGAAGCCTGTCTGAAGCCTCCCTGTGCTCTCATGAGCTAATTCATTACCGTATGAGCCACCGAGAAAAATGCTTAATGGGCAACTGCATTCAGCTGCACAGATGTCAAGCTCAGGAAGCACTCAGAGAGATGCCTCATGCTAAGGACAGCAGTTGGTGCCATCCACACTACCGCTGTGTATGACACCCAGCCCTTCCCCCTGTTTCACGTGGTAGGAAGTCTGCCGCAATGCAGCTCAGGACACACACACCAGCTTCAGCTTTTGGCAAGACAAATGGTACAGATGTTAGCTAGCAGTGACAGATTACCCAGCCAAATGCCCAGGACACTCCCTGGCTTGATAACAAACCAGAAAGCCTTCACGTGCAAAGAGATGCCCTTACCAGGGGTGTATCGGGCATCAGAACTTCCCCATCCTCCACCCAGGCGAAGGGAATTATCCCAAGTGGACAACGGTGGTTTCTGGCCTGTTAGCCCTGGAGGCGGGCGGGACGGAGCAGTGATGCTTTTAGGTGGCAAAGGGACCTTCCACAGCTCATGAGCCAGAGAGGTGTTAGTGACTGATCCAGGAGACCATGTTGATTTGGAATCACTGTTTCTGGCTACTAAAAGGCAAATGAAGACAACCACGATCACAACACTGCTGGAACCACCACCCTGCTACTGACAAAAGCTCCTAAATGAGAGTAAAGTCAAAAGAACTACTTTGAACACTAGTGAAATTACTGCTGAGATGAGAGCTCAGGACTACGTCTTATTAACATCCAGTGTGGGGACACTGAGGCACATGAAGGGGAAGAAACACCAGCTCAGAGCAACATAAGCAGACATCACCTGAAGTGCTTTGTGCTGTACTGCTGAGGGAAACATTGTAGTTGGAGGCACGAATGGATGACCAGGCACTAGTTGAAGGCAGCGTGGTGTTCAAAGATGAGGATGACCCTACAGAAAAGAGAGAAGCCAGTCACAGTACAGTCCATCACCAATGCAATACTTACAAGGTATGACTTGTACTCCAGACTGAACACGTCTGCGGGCAGACCAGGAACCTCCTCCACTGCTCCATCCCCATCCTGCACCCAAACGCTGTGGTGACAGGCACGCTCAGCAGCACTCTGCAAGCAGAGCCTGTCCTTACTGCAGTGGCTGGACTGCCAGGTTTTGCTCGCCTACTTCCAACCCCACAGCCTCTCTGTGCAAGATTACATCAGAATCGCACATTTAATGAATGACAAATTGCTGATTACACTCAGCAGCATCCACTCACTGCCCACATTCTTGGAGTATCTGCTGCATTGCATCAAGTAGCAGTGCTTGAGCCAAAGATGAGCTTTTCAGCCCCGAAATCCACAATACAGAAGATAAACAAGGAGATGAGCAAGCAGCAAACCCATCTCCAAGTAAACAGTCCCTCTCTGCGCCCGAAGCAAGCTGAGTACAGGATGGAGGAGGCAGCACTGAACCTACCACTGTTCCTGTCCCTGAGGTGGTCAACTTCCCGCACAGTATTAATTGACAGATTGTTTATGACACTGCCAGGAGTGACGTAAGGGTCAGTTTCAGGGTCGATGTTTGGATAACCTTTCCATGGCTCACCAGGCCGAAACTCTAGGAACGGACACACAGAAGAGAAGCTTATTTGGATTCGCTGTTTTACAACAGGAAACATCTGCCTAAACAACACATCTCCTAAGGACTGAAAAGCCCAAACATTGAAGCGTTTCGTTTACTTAATCTGCTCTTTTCTTTTCACTTCAGTCACTTCATTTCTAGTTTTTCTGGTCCCATCTCACCAGGGTACAATCTGGTGCTCAGAGCCCCACGTGAGGACACATACCTGGTGTGAGGACACCTACCTGGAGGCCAGTTAACACTGCTAGAGCCGTTAGGCGATTTGGCACGGGGCCAGCCATCCCCAATGGATCCAGGGGGACTGGCTGGTGAATTACTGCTGTTCATAAAGTCATATGGAACAAACGGAGACTCTTCCAGCCTGAAACCACTTGAAATAGCACCTAGTAATAAAGAAGGACGTATTTTTCAAAGCCAATTCTTGTATTTTCTCTCTCTATGTAAGAACATACCCCTGTAAAGCATTCATGAAATATACAGCAGCAGACTGTCCTCTGGTGATGTCAAGTTACATAGGAAGTCATACAGGAGTATATGATCTAAAATGAAATGCCTCTGAATAATTCAGGAGAAAAATGTAAGAATCACGAAATCATTTCCTTCAAATAGGACACTTAAATTTAATAAGGAAAACATTCATTCAAGAGGGCAAGAGCTTTCTGTGAGACCGAACTGGTTAGCAGGGGTAGTGAACAGAATCACAGAATATTCTGTGACGGGAGGGCTCCTGGAAGAAGCATCTAACCAAATCTGAAGGATCTTGAGCTACTGCAAAGTTCTCAACTCCTACTCATATTCCTGGCAGGGCAAAACAGCAAATGTAGAAATCACTGGAGGCAGAGGAATGAATGGAAGCGGAGCACAGCATCAAACAGAGCCTGTACAAGTCTTGCAAGGACAAGCTGAAAAGTTATTAGGCAGCAGAGCCAAAGACATTCTACGGTTCTGAGGGAACAGAGGACTTTTACCAGGGATTTGATGTGATACGGAGCTCAAACAATCAAACTCCTGATGCCATTCAGAAAACATCACCCCCAGCTAAAGTAACACAGCACTGACTGCTGTGGGTAACAATCAGACGAGGTTCAGAAGCGCGGTGGCAGGACACCTCCACTAGACACATAAGGCAGCAAGTCATTTCACAGTAGTAAAGCAGCTGACAAGTCTATAAATACCCCAACAATCTCGAGACTGGAAAGTAAGAGGAGACTGGAGACATCTTATAGCTATCTTTAGACACAGAACCTTTGTGCTATAGACTCACATTTTAACTGGATGAGATTTCAAGCAACTGAAACAGTTTAAATGTCATATGAATCCTGATTACTGGGATGAAATAAGACGTAACCAAGTCCTCTGCCTCCTCCAACACCGAGTACAGCATTGGTACTTGTCTACCCTTCTAAGCTCTCCCTGGTTTTAGAATGCAAATGTACACATTCACAAGCAGAACGTGTCATCAGAAATGTCAGACGTGACCAGAGTTAAATCCCCATAAACCCTCTTTAGGCCAGCAGGGTCAGGGGAACCAAACTAGAAATCTGCAGCTTTTGGTTCCAGAAGACATGAAGCATTCCAGTCTAGATCAAGGTAAAGCCAGGAGTAGCACTCACGCTTAAAGACAAGTCTGGTTGGAAAGGGCATTCTGTACCTTTCTACTAAATCCCATCACAACATCATTTCTGTAGGTAAAATCACTCAGGCAGCTCTGGGCTGCTGGGGGAGACGAGCAGCACGTTTGGCACAGACAGCACAACACAAATTCTGACAGCTACGAGCAACACAGTAGTTACACCTCCAGACCTAACCGCAGCAAACCTGCCTGTGAGAGCCAGAAGGTGAAAGCAGGCTCTGAGGTGTGAAACACATACCATGTTTGCTGGAGTTTTGATCCAAGGATGTGTTCACAGAAATGCTGTCGACTGTAGTCCATTTCCTCAAGCGAGATTGTGGCTCTTTAATACTGCTCATATCCATGTTTACATTCAAGTTTGAGTTCATTCCTAGAAACACATATAACTTATGAAATACAGGCTGAATGTTTTTCTTCTGCTAACTACCCCTGTTGTCCTAGTGAGCGTTTAAGAGCATGTTACTATGGTTCTTTCACACTTCCAAGTCTCTGTTTTTGAGAAACATTCTAGCATTTAACACAGTGAACTTACTCCAGACAGAAGCTAAGCTAAGCTAAGCAATGCAAAGCACCCAAAGTTCTCAGCTGATGTCTTCATGCAAAAAGGGCAGTGGAAGAAGCCATTGGGAAGTCAGAGAAGCTCAAATACCAGCCCAGCAGCAGCACAGCTGATCTCATCTGGATGGAGCAGAGGTACTGCCCTTTGGGGAGCTACACTCAGCTAGAAAGGACACCTGTCTCACCAGGGGTCTGCACTCATCCCTGTTCAGCAGAAGTTACGTCCTGGTGTCTGCAGTTACAACCTCACTCCTGTTCTTGCCCGGGCTGTTCCAGGACACCTCGCCAGCCTCAGACCACACAAGCAACACCATCCCCTCTCCATTTAACCTCCTCACATTGAGCAGTGAAACCTCGGTAAGAAGAAACCAAACACAACCTGTCTTTGCCTGTTCTAAGCTGTTGTCTCCATTTCAAAACATTTATCTGCCAGGGAATCAACACAATGCCAACCCAAATGAAAGCCAATACCTGTGAGCACCAGCTGTTCTGGGCTTGGACAACTATGCCCATGCTCTGGACTTTGGCATGCCTGCTCCCTTTCCAGGTCAGGAAGGATCCTTCATTCCCAACCATACCTGGTTACCTTTCCAGCCCTTCAGATCTGTTTACTCCAGCTCTGAAAATAAACCACTACAACATTTTAGCTCAGGGCCAGAGACACTCAGGCAACATCTCAAATCTCTACCAGAAACTCACTCATTCAACACTGAAAACCAGTGCTTAATCTTGCTCCTGAGGGGATGCTCATTGCCATAGAGGAGCTGGTTTGGTTTTTCATTCGTTTGGTTGGGATTTTTAGTTTAGGCATGAGCAGATGTGGATGCCAGAAAAGCAGCACCTCCAAAAGCCTCAGAGAAACTGTCTCATATACTGCAGGTTCCTGCAGCGTGGCAACGATTACGGTGAGAAAGCAGCTACTTAATAGTACACAACAATTCAACTTGAGAAATGAAACAGAAAGGAGCCTCATGCAGGCAGGAAGCCTGAACTTAAGACTGGCCATAAGCAAAACTCCAGTGCGGCACATGCAAGGCAAGAGCATGGCCTGCACCAACGCACTGCCTCCATCACGCTCCACCTGTAAGCACAAGGGTTTCAGCAGCAGTCTCTACCAAACAAACTGCTCTACGAAGGGCAATGAGAATGCAAAGGAAATCAGCCCAACAGAAATGACCAGATCAGGATAAAATAGAAGAAAAGCAAATTGGAGGAAATAAACTGGGATAAGGAACAGAGGTAAATGGTAAACAGCTGTAGTAAGCATAAAACAGCATTACAAAGGGACCTAAAGTAAGGAGAAAATATACAAGCCTGGAATTTCTGAAGTAGAAATTGGACAGAAGCCTGGAAATGTGGGGAGAAAGAAACAGGAGATGTTTGTATATATAAACCTTCAGACATTGTGCCTGAAATGAGACAACCATTCTTTAAAACTGAAGAGCTTAAACCTTTCTTCCCAGGACAAAACCACCACAGGGGAAATGAACATTTTGTTCTACCTATGCAATTCCAGATGCATCGAAATGTTTTTAAAATCCAAAGAAATGAGAGCACTTCAATGGATTCTTTGTATGGATTCCACTTCTAAAAGTCCTTTAGCTCCAGGAATTCTAAGTGCAAAAGGACTTTGTATCATCCTTGGGACCCAGAGGGTAAAAAGAAAGAAAAGGAGACAGACATTCTTTAAGAATGTACAGCATCTGCACTGACATACAATCACTTCAGGCAGTAAGTGTACTTGTGACATAAGTTCTTTGGTGAACAAAGATAACTGGATAAGCCCCAAAAGAATTACCGCTTCCGTGAGAACTGTAAGTGCTAACAGGATTACAGTCCCTGTTGTTTTCCCAGGCAAATGAAAAGGAAGGGGGGGTGTTCTGTAAGCATTTAACTGTATGATGTTAGTGTGGAGAAACCCACCTATGGGGAAGCTGCTGAATGCATTTATTGGCGATGGCCCTTTCTGCAGCTCAGGAGTAGCGTGGGGTATGACATTCTCAAGGAAGGATTTCATGGAGGGTTGATGGAGTGACTGCTGCTGAGAGGGTGGAGTCTGCTGCTTCATTAACAGGTTTGGATCAAGCTGACGGGACTGTTGCATCATCTGTTGCTGCATACTAAGAGATCGACCCTTAAAAAAAACAGAGCAGTTACAATATAAATGGGCAAAAAGCTTTTTCACATCTAAAGAAAGATCAGGAAAGGCATCTCTGTGCTCTGTGCACCTACGCACAGCAGAGCCCAGCCTTAAGCTAAGCCTTTTTTTTTAGAGCTTGTCAAAACTCCATTCACTCTTGCACACTTCAATGGCATTTCTAACAAGAAAGGCAGCTCAGACAATGAACAGGTTTTAAAGCTAGCTTGAGAAGTGAATAATAAAGGGGTTCGTTACCTGCTGCTCCTGCTGTTGACGACCACCAGAAGGCATGCTTCTTTGATTCTGCGCTTTTTGCTGCTGAGCCAACAACCGCTAGGAGACAGTGTTTGGTGGTGGTGTTTGTGAGAATAGTTTAGAGCTGACGTGAAGTCTCTACTTAGACTTTCAAACAGAACCCAGCGACCAGCTCTGGTGGCTTACCTGTAACTGGGAGATCTGAGAAAGCTGGTTTAACTGGGACAGTTGATTCAACATGGCTACCTGTTGTGGGCCAAAAAGTGGGCTCAGGCCACCGCTGTTTGGTGCATACTTCAGTAATGATACTGGAACCTGCAAACCAGACCAGAATAAAGAGTGACCGACAGTAACGCGCTGCCAGTTACACTGGATGTAGGCTATTATAACCTCTGTCAACAGCTGCCTAGTTTCTGAAACACTCCCCAAGCCAAAAGCCCTTTCAAATATTGACAGAATAAACATCAGCAACACCCATAAACAAAACACAATTTTCTGAAGCAGCGTTTTGGTAGTTTACACCCAGAATGTTTTATGTACTTCATTACCTGAGGGGATAGTAATGGAGGAGGCACTTGAGCACGTGGATTAGGCTGAGATGAATTAAGAGGTTGTGCTGGAGGCTGCTGCATGCTCCTGGGCTGTGCTGCTAAATTACCAACACCAAACATACTGGGATTGCCATTCTGCGGGAAGGAAGGACAGTGAGTGACAGCAAACCTCTTCTGCTGCTCCTCCCACCCCTATGCATTTGAATTACAAATTAAGTACAGATCAATCACATAGGTAGGATGTTATATCAAAAGGCATTAAATGCTGTCAAGTAACATGCCAAGGATACGCACACAGCCTTACCTGTCTAACAGAATTCAAGTTTTGCATACCCAGCCCTGCTAGGGAGCCAAGGGCTTGGTTAGGTAGTGCATTATTTGAAGGGGGAAGCTTCATGTTTTGATTGGACATAAACTGCATGTTTTGGGACTCGTCTGCTACAATGCCATCCTGATGGGACAGACAAACCGATGCGCAACACCCAGCCAGCAAGCAAGCAGAAGGGAGAAACCATTGGCAGGAGCAGAAGGGAAGAGTCACAGACAGTCCAGCACCAGCAGGAAATAGGCAGAAAACAAAAGAGATCAGGTTAGTTAGTCATTTGCACTGCAAAGGGGCTACAGAAACTGCTTAGTATTACATATCAGTAAGTTAAAAAGAACAAACATCTCTTACGGATTAACAAGAAAGCCCCGGTTTTCCCCTCCACTAAATGCAGAAAGCTAAAGAACACACAGAGTCAAAGAAGTTTAAAGTGTCCACCAGCAGGACACCTACTGACCTTATCAAAGTAAGGACCGCGATCCATGGAAGACTCTTTGGAAATCTGAGGACGAGAACCAGGGCCTTTTCCAACCACACGGTTGTAATCTCCCACACTGAGGCCGTGCTTATCCATCTCCATCCGCTTATCTGGCAATAACCCTGGGAAAAGGTGAGAGAGGTGACTGCAGTATTCCAGACACCAGCAACCAGCCTGTGCTTCTGAAGAGCTGCACTGATGCTGCTCTCAAGCTAGAGACTAATGAAAGAAAACACCAGTTTAGCTTTGAACTCTCTGGGCTTTAGTGAAAAGGGAAAGGAAACACTATGGATCAATGGGTATAGACAATTGAGAACTTGGCATCAGCACGGCGTCAGCAGGTTTTGCTGGACTCCACAAAAATGTTGCTCTCAGTTCTTAAAACCAAGAAAGTTTAATTGTTCTAACTGGAGTTTCCAGTTGTGAATGCCACGTGTCTGGTTTGGAAGCACAAAGCACTGTCTTGGCTTTGAAGCAGTAGCTTTATCACATCCCTACATCCGTCCAGTATTTCAGAAGCCCTTTAATTTGATTCAGTTAAGAAAAAACCCTATTAGCTAAAACCCAACCAAACAAAAACCTTCACAAATGTACAGTATTTGTGTTTATTAAAAGCAAATATGAAGTTATCTTCTCATGAATTCTAGGCAAGCTACAAGATCAAAATGTAAGCAGTAAAAAAGGGTCCATTTAATCCTTCACTGCATTCAGTGCAAGAGAATTACTTCCAAAACTGATGTTTTAAACTCAAAACTGAAAAAAGAAATAATTTAAATATGGGGCTTCCCCTTAATATTCAAATCTAAAATTCAAAGAACAATCTCTTACACAATTAGACTGTGAACCTAAAAGTGAAAATACCCAGTTTGATACTGGAATAAGAAGACTGCAACTCCACTAAACAGTAGAGTGCCACAGATACTTTTAAATAAGAATTCTATCATTATAGTATCAGTGTATTACAGAATTATGCTGGCTTTTATTTGCTGGAGGAATCATAACTGGCTTCAAATAAAACCAGAACTGCTCCCAAGTCGTTTCACACTCAGGTTTAAACGCCTCTGAAATAACTGCTCAGTATTAATTTAGTTCCTAGAACTGAGAATGTGTTTCCAAGAATGAACCACAATGAGGGACTGTGGGATTCAGAACGTGTCTGTGTGAAGGATGTATCCTGAGGGCAAGCCAGATACTTACATTGCAAGAAGCAAAATCACCACACCCTGAAAACACTCTTTTAAGTCAGCTCAGCTTGATTTATGGGGAATATCACTAGAGCAACCAGGTGATTCATGTGTGTAGCATTACTCACATACACACAGGTTTTTTCTTTACAAGGGTATTCCTCTTCTTTAGGGAAGCATATTTAACTATATATAGCTGTAGCTATATATATGATATATACAGTTTTTGAAAAGTAATTTACAGAAGGATATAAACTAAAAGAGAGACTGGGAAGGAAAGCAGTAAAAGCCAGGCTGGCTCTCCTAGCCTTACCTCCAGACATGTCCATCTTATTGCTCTGTATGGTTTCTTCTGGTGATTCTCTCTGAAGTAATAAAATGAAACATAATTATTTAGTAGTATTTTTAAAAGCTAACCCAAAGACATTCCTATAATACTATTTATATTCAAACCTGCAAGGGGAAAAAAAGAGACAAATCGGATGCTTTTTAAACCCCTTAGTTGGTACCCAACTGAAAACAGGTATTGCACCGAAATACGTGTGTAAGGTTAAGTAAAACCCCAGAGTACCAGGTGAACACCAGGGTGGTATTCACAAAACCACTTCTCACCAATCAATTGGCATTTTTGTAATGAAGATTCAAAGCAAATGGGTGGGTGACAGAGGGGAGACAAAGAGAAGTAAAGAGAAAAGCACTATGAAACAAACCCCAGTCAACTGAGCGTGTTACTCCCTGTGCATTACAGTCAGCACAGTAAGAAGGCAATAGAGCCAGGTGAAGGCAATAGAGCCAGGTAAAGGCAAATACTTACTGAAAAAGTGAGATTTGTGAATTGCTTAATGAATGGATTGATCCATGTTTCATCTTGCTTATTTCCACCTTTCATTATTCCCTTAAAAACAGAAAGGAATTCCCGTGATGCTCAGAAGACGTTTACCACCTACTGCTAAAATGACATCACAGAATGATATGAATGAAGATTAAAGCTTAATGGCCCCTCTCAGGGCAGCATTGTTCTGGCTCAGCTTTTAGATCTGCCAACAGTGCAGAAAGCTCAACCCAGGCGCCTCATTACCTTCGTGGGCATTTTCTTCATGTACGGTGGCCAATTTAAAGATGAATTAGCTTCTTGTGAAGAACTGCTGTTCCACATTCCAATCTCCACATCCTCCTCTTCCTCCCAGCTGGTCTGACGACTGCCTGTCAATGGCATATCATCTCCACACCAACTATCTTGCATAGATTTAGGCCCTGGTTGTGAAAAAAAACCCAGCACTTCAGCATTTCAGTAGCAACTGACTGCCCTCAACACAGACCTTAGCTTGGTCCTTACTTCAAGATCGTAAGCCCTCAGAAACATAAAGCTTCTGCAGAGCTGCTTCCCCATCCCCATCCCCTTTCCTCAGAGATGACACAAGAAGCACTCACCGGGTTTATTTGAAGCCTGTTGACCAAGAGAAGTGTTTCCCCAGCCAGAGGTGCCTGCTGCATCGCTGATGGGCTCTCCCCAGCTAGTACCAGTATCCATGGGCTTACCCCACGCTGAAGTTCCATTATCTACAGTAGTGGCTGGAGTAGAAGGCTCTCCCCAACCTTTTTAAAGCAGTACGAGTTACTGGCATGTTTTTAAACAGGATTATAAAAGCTACCTAAAGAAACTCAAGTGGTTTGCTTTTCTAGAGCCGTAACACACAATAAAAAGCGTATTAGTGCACATACACATATTACAACTGTCAGCTGTTCAAAAATAATCATAAAAATACAAATTTCTTATGTAAAACATTCCATTTTGGTAATAGACATGTCCGAGATGTTAAGTTCCTAAGAACTGCTCATTATATTTAAGCTACTCCTCTCCACATTTGAGAGCACAAAATACTTCATAAGCACCACACAAGCTCATCTACAAGTATTATTCACTGCTCCCAAAACTACAAGATCAGAAAGTCTGATCTCGAGTCCATATAAACCAACCTCCTTCATTCTGTCCCTTTTGGAGGGGGCTCTTTGGTAACGTTTTAACAGGTTTAGAAGCAAATGAAGAAAAATACTTTCATTCCTCAGATACTAGGAGGTATTTCCTCTGTTTCCACATCCCAGAATTCAAGTAGAGCCGGGTTACTTTAACTCCTCAAGCTATTTAAAACTAGATCTTCCAATCTGCATAAAAACACCCATGTCTACGAGCATTGCTGTTGGGTGTTTTTCCTAAATAAGAATGGTACTTCACCAGCACCCCCCTTTACCACTTTAAGCTAAAGTATTGTTATATGAAGCAAGAACAAAAGAAGCGGTTTACAGCTAGTAGAAAACAGGGCATAAAACCAAGCCTTACCAGAACCCGAACTGCTCTCCTTGCTAGACATGGCACTTGAAGACAGTAGCTGCTGATGTACCTGTGCTTGCTGGTCTGAACTGCTGCTACTGTTTGGGACATTTTTATTCCACATATTCACATTTTTGTAGTTGTACTTGCTCGGATCCCCCCAAGCAGAAGTTCCATCATCAATCTCCATTTTACGGCGTATTGATTCAGGGGATGGCTCCTCCCAGCCCGTGGGCTCTTCCTCCTTTGCCGGCGCTGGCATCGGCCCCCCCAGCCAGCCCGAGCCGGGGGGCTTGTTCGGGGCAGACGGGGCTCCCCAAGAGCCAACATCTTGTTTGTTCCACTCTGGAGAGTTGATCGGCTTGGATGAATCCCCCCAAACTTGAGGCTGATTGGATTTAGGAGGGTCTCCCCAGCCTTGGTTCTGATTAGGCTTTGCAGGCTCATCCCATCCTGAAGAAGTATTTGGGTTTGTATTATTACCTCCCCAGGAAACAGAATTTGATTTACCTGGCTCGTTCCAACCAGATACTGATCTGTCACTGTTGCTACCTCCTGAACTGGATTTCTTAGCTTCACCCCAATGGTTACTTCTTGAGTTTTCACCCCAGCTATCACTGGCAGAAACTGCCCAACCCTGGCTGGCCTTCTGTCCATCCGCCCATCCCTGTTTGATCTTCTGTGAGTCATTCCAAGATGACTTTTCCTCTTTGCCACTTCCCCATGATTGATTGCTCTTGACCATTACTGTAGCAGCAGAATCTTCTTCCCACCCCCCTTGGCTGTTTGACCCTTTGGAGTCTCCCCACCTTGTAGCAGACTTTGGATCTCCCCACCCTGATACAGATGAGGTATCATTATTATTAGGGTTAGGTCTATCCACACACCCCCCTGAGCTGGAAGTCTGTGTCACAGAGCCCCCCCAGGCCTCTGTCCCATTGTCAGTTTTTCTTTCACCCCTCGGTGATGTTTCGGTATCCCAGGCAGTGTTCTGTTTGATTGGAGTCTGTCCCCAACCAGAGTTGGAAAGGACACGTGGATCTAAGTCAGTTCTGTTCACTATGCTTTGGAGTAACGCGTGCTGGTCAACTTTCCTTCTCTCCCGGTTCTGTCCTTCCGCAGTGGCTCGATCTTCATGGCACCCAGAGCTCTCGGCGCTGCCCTCGCTGTCTGCTGTACCTGCTTTGGTCCACGCGCTGTTCTGCTCCGTGAGCTGAGGAGCAGCAGGACTCTGGCTGCTGAGGTCCTCCTCCTCTGCAGACTTCCATCCGTTTGTAAACTTCCTGCCGTTGCCATTCACGCTTTCATTGGAATGCTGATTACTGGGCAGTTTACTCCATTCCCCATTTGAAATGTTAGTGCCAGTGTTTTGTGCAGGGTTCCCCCATCCTCTTCTATTCCCGCCAGCACTCGCACCATTCCCACTTCCCCATGGCATGTTCTGGGAGTTGACTGTCCCTGCCTCCCACACCCCTCCTCCTTTATTCCCATTGATTTGAAAGTTAGTGCTGCCAGGCCCACTAATGCCTGGCTGCATTAGAGTTGCATTCACAGTGTCACCATTAGCTTGGCTGTTTGGGCCTGAACATTTGTCTCCAGAGTAATTAGAACCATAGGCACCCCATGTAGTACCATAAGATCCACCATTTTTCGCCTCACCATTGCTAAGATGAGAAATGGAAGTGCCATTTGAAACTGGAGAGGCCTGAATCTGAGAATGATTCATTGTGCTCACGCGCCAGGCCCCATGCCCTGTATTATTAGGCAGTTCGTTAATCTGCACTGAACCAGCAGAGTTTGGTAAACTAGAGGTCATAAAGTTAGTAGTGTTATTTGGTCCATTCATTTCAGTGTTAAGGTTTTGAGGTTGCCCACTGAATGAAACATTCCTTGTACCATTTACTTCAGAATCACAACTTTCCTGAAGGCTTCCCCAGGAACCATGGGCTGAACCACCCACCTTAGAGTTAATACTCTGACTATTAGATATCTGACCTATGGTACTGCACTGAATACTTGTGCCAGGATTACCACTCCCTACAGACCCTTTCAGGGCATGTCCATTGTTCTCCAATACAGACCAGGCACCATGGTTGCCATTTGAATTCAAAGTGCTTGGATTTAACCCTCCATTTGATGAAGAGTTTATGGTGCCCCAAGCATTCATTCTATTGTTGCTACTTTCAGATTTGCTGTCAGGAGCATCCACAGAAACTTGACATGTGCTTATTATGGTTCCGTGGGATAAGCCCCACGGCCCATTAATACTTCCATTGCCCACATTATTGCTGTTGCTACCAACCACAAACTTATTCTGAGAACCATGTCCAATGCCATTCCGAATGCCATCGCTTTCTCCACCTGTGCTCCCTGAAGCCATTATCACGAGGTTCCTCTCTGACCCAGAGCTAGAGGCAGAGTCAGTGTCCATACATTCTGATGTCAGCTCCGGGTCACTGCCAGTGATTGATGGCCATGCTTCTTTGTCAGAGCCGTCTACAATAACTTTATCCCAGTTTGTGCTGGAGTCACTATTTGAAGAGACTGGTCCCCAGTGAGAATTTTCATAATGGGATCCTAGACCACTGTGGTTCAGATCTAAAGGGAAGAGGGAAAGTCCAAGAGCATCATTGTAAATTTAGTATTATTACTTCATTAAAGCAGAAGAGGAAAATGAACACATAAAGATGCTAAGCCAAGAATCCTTTTGCATATTTGAACACTCAAGTCCTGAAGAAGACAGAGAAAGCTTCCGGGTAAGTACAGGTGCTCAGAACACTGCCCCACACACAACCTAGAACACTTCTCGCCAGCAGGCAAAGCGGCACTCACAAGAGCACAAAGCAGCACTCCTGAAGGTACAGGTCGTCTTGTCCCAGAGAAACAGCCGGGGTATTCAAATACTCTGGATTTAAAGTATTTTCTAGAAACATGTCCATATTAAACCCTAAATACTACATAAAAATCAAAGACATTTGGAAAGGCAGAAATCTGAACAGGATATTACACTGACCTAGCAGCGCCAATTGCTGTGTGACGGGAGCTAGAGAAACACCTTCCCACCCCATTAAGACATCATAGAAGGATTCTTAAGTTATTGAGGAGATTTTCTTTTATCCAACAACCCATATAAACCTCACAAGACCAGGCTAAAGTTCTGCCCTGCAGAAGCTCAGATTAAGTGGCTGAACTGATACTTCTCACTTATCTAAGAATCACTGCTGCTATTTCACTAGATAGGCTGATGTGGGAATCAGGAAGACACAGACCCTAATTCATTTACACACTTTGCATGGTAAATATAGGCACCACGGAGTATTTGGTGCAAAACAAGCACCATCAATTCTCATCTCAGGTGTCCAACGCTTCAGGCAAAGCCCTCCCCCATGACTGCTCAATCAAAGCATCAGCAGAAGATGGAACTATGGAAGCGTGAAGCGTGTGGAACACAGTGATGAAGCTGGCAAAGGAACACAAGTACAAAGGCCACTGGAGCTTTTTACTTTGTATTTGCCTGCACTGAGAGAATAAGCACACTGGTGCACGCTCAGTGGCTGCGTGTGCAGCAGCTTCTCTGCACATGAAAACATTTAGTTGGGTTTTTTTAAGTAAACAACACTTCTTTGTAATATTCCCTTGTTTGCCTTTACTTGGGCTATTCAAAACGTACGTAACCCTGGGAGAGCTGGGAGACATTCCTTCAGCTGAACATAACCCCAGACCTGCCTGTTAATGTGTTACTAGAAAAACCACTGCGGTATCTGAGCAAAATCCAGCAAACCCCAGGATCTCCAATCTCACACTGGTGTTTAAAGAAAAGAAGTCATTTAACCTGTATTAAAAGACTAACCAAAGATAAGAGTTGTCTGCACTCTCACGAAGGAGAGAATCAACAGCACCAAAAGCCGCACTAATGAAACATCTGGATTGAAAAACATCATTTCAGTAACAGATCAACTGCAAAAGCAACACTGAAGTGCACAGCTGCGAACAGCCCAAATTCAACATGGGGAAAGAGACAAGGGTTATGAGTACAGAACAGAGTGAAACAGCAAACAAACCTTCACTGCACAACAGAAGCCCTGTATTTAAAAAGTTCTATTATCCTAATTTAGATGTGATGCAGTTTGTAAGGAGCCAATGCACAGAGAGCAGGTAATGACTGATTTCCAGCCATGCAGAATGTGATCCCACTGCATGCAGAACTACCCTGACTGACAGTTTTTCCTCGACATAAACGTGTGTTAGTGCTTTCTAGTGGGAACCACTGTTCTGGAATCTCCCTGCTGGAATCTCCACCCCCATGAACGTCTGAGATTAAGAATACAAATACTGAGTAAGCAGGAGATTATCTCTGGTGTTGTGTGTCTGGCAGATACCACAAAACCACCCTAAACATTGAGAAATCCCAGCTGACAACATACTGCTCTTGGTGACAAGCAAACCCAGCCAAGAGCAGCCCAGGCCTGCGCTTCTCCCCAGGACTATTCAGAAGTTGCAGGTGAACTTTTGCTGCTTGAATCCTGGACATAAATGAACTACATAAACCTGAGCTTCTTACAATCCAGTTTGTGCCTTACTAAAGCACTCCAAACTCAGGAATGAGCAACTGTAGCTGTTGGCCTCTGCAGTGGTTTCCTAACTGAAGCAAAGGACAGGAGAGCTGCCAGGGCAAGGGCACAGCATCCTGCTGCACCCAACCCTGCTCCCAGAGAGAGACCATCCTGCACAAGCTTTGCCTCTCCTCTCCCTGACACAGGGGAAGAGGGAGGATGAGGAGAGGAGGTTTAACACCTTCCCTTGAGAGCAGGCTTTGAGGAAAATGTGAAGGATGAAAACTTCAAGGAAAAAACAGAAAAGATGCAATGTGAAATGTTCTCCCAAGCCCTGCACCTGCTGCAGCCTTATGGGGACATGAACTAGAGCCACTACAGCCCCACAGCACTACCTGTGCTACTCAAGGCTTGTCAGACCTGCCTGGGAATACTGTGTTCAGTTTTGGACCTTGCTATACAGAAGAGTTGTGGACAGGCTGGAGAGGAACCAGAGAAGGGCCACAACGATGATCCAAGGACTGGGAAGACACATGAGTAAAAGCTGGGAGAGCTGGGACTGCTCAGCCTGGAGAACAGAAGGCTCAAGGGAAACCTAAGCCTCATGTTTGTGTTTAAAGGGTGGCTATCCCTTTTTACAAGGGGTCACATGGAAAGATATGGAGTGATGGGTACAAGTTACTCCTGGGGAGAGTCTGACAGGACCAAGAGCAAGAGGTTTTACAACAAGAACAACCAGCCATTGACTAATCTCCCCAGGGAAGTGTGCATTCCCCAGCGCTGGACACTGTTAAGAATCAGCTGGACAGGGTGCTGGGACATCTAGTCTAGGTCATGCTGTGCTTTGAAAGGTTGGAGCAGATGATTCCTGAGGACCCCTCAGAACCCTGGGATTCAGTGGTTTCCTGTGCATGTCCCCATGTCCTCACATAGCACATTTACTCCAAAATATACTTAAAAAATGAACAGCCAGTGTTCTTCACAACGACAAAGAGCAGCAGGGAACATGCAGAGCTGCAGGTGCTACCACAGTGTAAACTCAGCATTCAAACCAGAAAGGCCCAGACATGATTTCCTCCGCAGTGCTATGCAATGTCTCTAATCTAAAGCACAGGCTTGCACAGATTATTCAGTTTAATACCACAAAGAGGCAATTCAACATGTAAGCAGAAAGGTAAAAAACAGAAGACACTTAGTATTTTAAAGCTGAGATGCCACACAGTCAAAACATCCGTTCTGGTATGAATTCTGATGTTATTTTAGACAATGAAAAGGTTTAAGCAAATGTAGGATGCAATGGCACAGGGAAGCTATGTGTCAGACATTCACACAGCACATGCTATTGGAAAACAGAAGCCAAAGAAAAGAAACATGAATAAAACACTCGGACAAGACTGTGTGACGCATGTAACTACTACAAAGACATGCAGTGCAAAGCAAAGGGGAGATGTAAAGAGCTAACCTGACTGGTTAGGGGAGTGGCTCACCAAGTCCCGAATGGGAGGCATGCCTATGGAAAGAAAAGCAAGACAGTCACAGAAGTGTTACTCTGGTAAAGTACCAACAGCCCCCAGAGCACTCGTTGCTCTAACCCCATCCGTTAGTACCCCTTCCTCAGGAGAGGTTCAGCTGAGGAGCCACGTAGAGTCCAACTCCGGTTTAACACCAGTGTGTGCACAACAAACTTTCCTCCAGCCCTCTCTCATAGCTTCTTCCTCCTAAGAGTCCCATAGGCACTGTATGAAATCAAAGCGAATGTTTCCAATTCACAAGTCCTACAGTTGGAGACCATAACTGTTGTATTTAAGGCACTGCTTCCTAAATGAAGTCAGCCCCACCACTTCTAACTGCAGATCCCTGACCAAGGAAAAACCCTCAACTTCCAGGAAGAACCTTCTGTTCCCCAGGGCTTTGTCTGTAACATCGTTTTGCAGCTCTGCTGAGATGCACATGGACAAAGTGAGACCCACTCGCGCCAGAGCAGGACTCAGAGCGACTGGACTAACGCCAGGAGCCCGGCGCTGCTCTCCCGCTCTGCTCTGTCCCACAGTTGTAAGCAATTACTGCTGGCAAGTATTTCAGTTCAGTGCATAAATCATTTCATTGTGGAACAACCACCTGGCCAGCCCCATGTGTTACAAAGCAGAGGCAAACATGCCGAGGCAGCATTCAAGACCTTCTTTTCATGTGAAGTTTACATACGGGGGGGAAATATCAGCAAAGCAAACATCTGAACTGGGTATGAAAACGTTCTGATCAAGAGCCACTTATGTAGATTTCTTAGAATAACCACCTTGGTACAGACTATCTTTTTCACAAGTACTGCACGCCATGGGCTTCACTTGCATGTCTTTATTAAAGAAATAGGCCAGATGGCCTAGGAACAGCAGAAAAGAACAACTCACAGGACTACCCCTTCTTCAGCTTTCCTTCTAAACAAAGGGGGCTCATTTTCAGAAGAGATGATCGTCCACACAAAACACATGCGGACCATTGATACAGTTAAAAACTTCTCCAATACCAAACACTTAAAACACTTAGTGTGGCACGGGCAGTTAAAAGAAGGCTCTAAGTTTAACAGTACTGGTGCTGCTGGCTTTCACAAAGCACCTACCAAGCAGTTACCACCCCAGCTGGAACTGGGGATCGATCCTACCCCAGGGTATGCCAGGGAATAACAGATCAAATTCCTGCAGCCATTACAAAGTCCTGCAACTCTGACTGCAACACTTGAAGCTACAGTTTTCCTTTTAGCCCTAAAATACAGATCAATCCCAATATCCATTAAACAATGCTTTAAAAATAAAGAACATAATCTTCAAAGATATTGTGTTAAGGTATAAAATTTGTCAACCCAAATGGCCTATACATGGATATTCTTTCAATAGGAAGGGATCTACAGACATGCCAAATTTCATGAGATTTTGAGTTTTGGAGGTAACACAGAGAGCACCCAGAAGCTGTCATTGGAGGCTAAAAGAGGAACTAGAGAGTGAGACTGGGGCAGGCAAATGTCAGTGGTATTTCCTTTCAGATACCGAGGTGCCAGAAGGCATTAAGCCACTCACATGCTGCTGGACTACAGCCACCTCCGTGTTACAGAAGCCTGAAACCACCGCAAAAATCCAGCACTGAAAAGCACTTTCCTTTACATTATCACCTTCCCTACATTTCTTAAAGCACGTGACAAACAGGGAACTCCTGGTTATTAGAAAGAGCTCTTCCAAGCATACAGACACAGGCACCAAGGCAGGAGGCCTTGGCTGCACAACCCCACTTGTCCGATCCTGGTCCCCCGGAGCACAGCACCAAGCTAACGAAGACCCAATAGGATGCTGCAGATAATACAAACATTTTCTTAAGGTGGGAAAGGGCTTTGGCCAAACTTTCTCTCCCTAAAGGCTCCCAGAACCTTTCTGTTATCAGCCTGACTTGTGGACATGTTATTCAAACAACTAGTCTGTTCTTCCAACCACAGAACTACTCCAGGAAAGGAGGTCCCCACACACTCGCTGTGGCGCTATGGCACAGGGACACGTTGGCATCTCCCAGCCTAAAAGGCCCCCCAGCCACAGCAGCACAAAATCAAGCAAAACTGGGAAGAATGTGATACACAAACGGGAAGCCAACTGATTCACTATTGGGCTGGTGTTCACAGCAGAAGAGAAATGAAGAACACTATGCTCAAAGGGATCCTCTGGATACAATGAGGTGGTTTAACAGGTTGTATAAAGAGTAATAATTCTTGAGTTAGTTTACCTGTGAGGTTTTATCTAAATCACTACTGGCTACCATATAACTTGACCAGTAGGGGATACATGTTGGAGAAAAAGTTGCATCTTAGAAGCAAGCAAGTATACAAAAGGTTACTTTAAACCTTTATACAGGTGAACTAAAACCCCAAACATTAACTAAAAAATGACTTCTTGGAGTGGTAAAGAGCTCTCCCAGGATGTGACAAAAATAATACTGGAAAGTAATATCCAGCATTCCTCAGGGGGCACAGGGATAAGCTGCTTCCAACGCTCTGTTTACTTTCAGTTTAAATGTGCTTCTTCAAGATTAAGTAATCAGAACAGCTCAAAATTGAACTACAATTTGAAATATCACGGCTATATTCCAGAAACCTTCTTTTTTAGCTGAAGGGACCAGGAGTCACGTCCCTTGTGGTGCACAGAACACCAGTTCTGAGAAACAAACCTTGAGTGTGGAAGAAACTATTTGTGGGAAGACGTTCCATCAACATGCAAGTGTAAAAATAAGAAGGTATTTGCCCACCATATAAAGTGTTGGCATTAATACCAAATCCCCTTGAAAACCTACATCCCTATGAGGAAAGTTACTTTTTTATCCAGCCTAAATGAGACTGCCCTTATTGCCTCCCCAAATTGTCTGAGCTGCAGGACAGTACACTGACTGAACAGCAAATTACGCACATGTAACAGGTAAGCTTACTACTCTTAGAAGGGTATTTGAAGAGAAAGTGTAACAAGCCAACATAACAAAGGATAACTCAAATAGTAAAAGGTAAAGGTTGATCCATTTGCTAAGTCAACCAAGCTTTACATAGATGAACAAAGACAAACTCTGACCTAGCAGCAAAAAGCAACTCTCATATTCCAACCAAGCTGCATCCTGTCTGTCTTGCTAGATATGAAGAAGAAAAAAAACCCCAAAGTCTAGAGATGCTGTTCAGAACTATGTGAATGACACTTTCTTGGGAGATCCGTGTATCAAAACTGGATGCAGAAAGTGATGCTTCATACCACGACCATGCTTGCATCAATCATTAGGATAAAGACTGGAAACTCAGAGCAGAGCAGTGGTCACATTGGCTCCTGTTCAGAACCAGACAAATCCACTGTGCACCACTGGCAACAAGAAGCAACTATGATGTCTCAGGTTTCTATCTGTAACTTGCACACGGATGGCCCAAAGCATCCTGCAGCGTTTAATATTAAACTACGACACAGGACAATCTCTCATCATGCCACAGCTTACATGGGAGGTTTAAACGTTAGCTCAAGTATTTCACTGACAATTGAACTGAAACTGTTTGAGTTCAAAGGGCCACATGGCACCTGCCCTCACCTGGCTGTTTTTTGCTGCTGTTCGGCACCTCTCCGTTGGTCACTGGTTGTTTGTTTGTGACAGTGCTGCCTCCTGACTGGCCGTTCAATACTTTAGGAGTAGATCCCAGGTTTGCAGCTATCACTGGTAACTGCTGACCTCGTTTCAGAAGCTGTTTCTGTTCCTGGTGTCGAAATCGCGGTGGTACTTCACGAGGAGGGTATCGAGGCAAGGGCTGCTGCTGCTGGCTGCTGGCTGGGGCCCGCTTGGCATTATTATTAGTGCTGGTTGCTGGGGAAGTGCCGCTGGAGGTGACAGGCTGAGGCTGGCTTACACTGGTCTTGGTTTGTTCTGGCACTGCCCCCACCCCCAGAAAGAGAGAAAGTTGGACAAAGTTATTCATAAGAACAGCAACTCCAATTGAAGACTAAGCCAATATTCTTACACATCTGCATGTTGCATGTAACGGCAGCATTTCTTCTCGTGCCAGTGGTAACTCATTCCCCATTAACAGCTCAATTATCCCATAACCACACAGCTTTAATAGCACAGATTGGGAAGGAGAAATATATCTTACTATCACTCCTAACAAAGTTATCTTGGCTAAAGTATGCTACTACTAACAAAGTCTTTCTACAGGGCTTTCTGACAAATCAGCTTATTTAAGCATTTAAACTATTTTAATAAATACTTAAGTACTAAACCCCCCCAAATCTTACCCCAATGGGAAATTTAAGTGTTATACTGAGAAAAATGTTCTGGTTTTGTCCCAGAAGTAAAAGAGGTGAACAGGGCACACAGAACACCACTGGGACTTGCCTGCTCCAGCAGCCCTAGAATCCCAAGGGAAATGTGTTGGTGCCCTGAGGTCAAGCTGCTCCAGCAGGAGCAGCTAACAGCACCGGTACCCCACACAGCCTGGCAGGACTGTGCCAGTGGGCAACTGCAGCTCCAGTCTTGGCAGCATGGCCCCTTCAAGGCCAGATGAAGGTCAAACAGCTGGCAGAGGGCAGCTGGGAGGGAGCACACCAAACCCTGATGCTGGATGAAGGGAAAACCACATCATCCTCCATCCAGCACCTCCACCCAGCCAGTACATTGGTGGTGAGCATATGGTGTCCAGGTGTAAGTAATGTCACAGGTAAGTGTACTTTCTGTCTTACGCTTACCTGTACTTCCTGTCACAGGTAAGTGCACTTCCAACCCCTCACACTACTGACATGTCAATGTACTCTCCAGATTTCTTCATGATATCCACATAATGTGTATACATTCACTGTGGAACTCCCTGAGATAGCACAAGACTCGATCACGACCTCCCTCAGCACTGACCGGCCTGTGTGGTCGTCACCATCTCTGCTCAGAGCTTCACAAGGTCTGAGTGGCTGAAGGCAAACAGTTTAATCCATGTGGCATTCCTGCTGCTAACAGCGAGGGACAGCTCGGTGAGGACAGCTTCTCCAGTGACAAACACACGGCTGGATTTACTTCAAGAATAGCTCTGCACATTGGCATCATCTAAACATACACAACTTGAGGCTGAAGAGCAGCATCCTCCAACCATCTCCCCGCTGTCTTCCTTCAACAACTCCCTGGCATGGCAGCAGCAGGAACACTGTTACCACATGACCGTGTTTAATTTGGTTAAAGACCATTTTCTCATTCACTTTCAAGAACAGACTTGTGTGAATACAACATAAAAAATAAATGAAAACAAGCTCTTCAGGCTTTTAAATCCACTTGAACACTGACAGTGCTATTTATGACTACCGTTTCTTTTTGTTTCTCCTATAATACACAGTAACATGCTCTGAAAAACACAAGCACAAAGGCCTTCAGAATAAAATGTCCCCTCAGAGGCAGCACCTTCAGGTGCTCACCACCACACTGGCTCCACAGCAGCGACCCTGCTCCTCTATTTCACAGCTGACTGGAGCAGGACAGAATTAAGGAGAGGAATGGCCAGGACACAGGTTGATTTAATGTCCACAGGGAACAGGAGGTGTTCAAATGCCATTAGATACATGGGCAAGTTGATAGAAATCACCAGCACCGTATCAGATGCCACCAGTTTAAGCTGTTGCCTGTATTAAGAGTAGGTAACTGATTCCTTGCACAGTGTTTTGATGCATGTAATGCAGCAACAGATAATGATCAAAACCAGGTTTCACAAAGTAGTCCTGAACAAAGCTCTCCCATTGATTCCTTTTAAAATGCCCTGTGTCAAAAATCATTAAAATGAGTGAAAGTGACTGAACCTTGGCGGGGAGGAGCGCTATTTCAGCAGCTAGCGAAGAATTTGTCACCACTTCAATGCACGAGCTCTTATAGCACATTTCTGTGGTCTGGGTACTGCAACAAGCTTTGGAACTTAAAAAACCAACAGAAAACCACCAAAATTCTTCACATACCCCTATCTGTGCCACTGCAGCCCAAATCTTGCTGCTCTGACCCATCAAAGTGCCTCCTGCTGCCACCCATCCACACCAACAGCTCTGCACAGCGAGGGGTGCCGACAAGGACAACCGCTGCCTGCAGCCAGGACACCCCTATCAAGCAATGGCACCAGGGAGGGACACAAACCCCTCTGCACGCTGGACCTGAGCTTTCTCATTAATGTCAGCTTAGGTGGAGAGTACCCCCAGCTTGAGGGGATTTTCTGATACAACCCACATCACCCCTGAACAGGCCACGGAGGAGACTCAGTTTTCCTGCACTCCCCCTTCATTCTGTGCAACTGCTCCTTTGGATCAAGTAAAATCATTTCTATGTGACATTCCATGAGACACCCCAACCCAGCTGCCAGCAGCGCTTACGGCAACACAGCAACATTAATACTTCCATAATTAAAGCTGCTTTAAGACAAAGTGTGTATTATAACAGAATCCAACTTGCAGGTAACCGAATCGCCCTCGACCATAAACACACCATGTCCTGCCCAGCCAGCCCCTGGGCTATGACACAAACAGCTCAAGAAATCTGTGTTTCTCATGTATTCTGTGCATTCATTTCCTTAGCAAACATGGCCATAAAGCCAGCAAACTGAATGGAAATCTACCCTGCAAAAGCTGGACTAAAGAATCAACAGTTTACATTCATATGCTAATTTCAAACTGGAATTAACCCAAAGTGCAACATGGATTAACTGCAGTTTCCCATCGCTTCCCCAAGTACCCTAGACTTCAGTTTTAAGCAATACAATTGCCCCTGTCCAACGTTTTCTGGTCCACACCTTCAGCAGACTAAATAATACATTAATATTCCAACATGGCTACGATAAATTCCAACAGCCCTTAATCCCTACCTTAACATTTCAGTTTGTCATAAACGAGTTGCTGGCTCGGTAAAGTTTGCTCTGCCCACCAGTATGCGATGTAGAATCACACCAGGGCAGAAAGCTCCCACTACCACCAGCACAGCTCATTTACCACCAGCGAGCTTACAGAAGCGAGCAGTAAAAAGGAGGTTTCCATAAAGCACAAACCTGCTGCAAGCCCGGAGCAGGGGATGGAGAGGTTACAGTGAACAGAGGGATTCCAAAGAGAGACGCTTCCAACTTGTGTTGCTTTCCCACTCGGCAGACTTCACCAGAAAATGGAGGAGAAGCATGGTGTCATTTTACTGCTCCTGGAGAGCCGCTGCCAGCTCCTCCTGAGCGGGGCCACGGCTCCCTCCAGCCCCAAAAATGGCAGCCCTGCCACTAACTTTAGTGCAGATGGAAACCAGCTTCTTGCTCGCACCGGCCCGGCGGGCAGAGATCAAATCCCTCCCGAAGCACACAAAGAGCAGCACCGAGCTGTCATTTAAGTGTTTCTTCTCGCTGCTGCCGGAGCTGACCTCTGAGAAATGTGTTGTGCGGCTCCCTGCCCGCGTGCCATGCCCCCGAGAGTTGTCAGTGCTGGAATGCTGAAGGGCAAGCGGAGGAAGCCTGGCGCTGGCGCTGACACACGTAAGATGTAGTGCTAGAATTTTCCTGGTGGAAAAATGGCCGCAGCTGTAAGCTGAGCGAGCCGAGCTGGAAAATATCCCACCGCTGCCAAGCCGTTAACCCCTGCGCCGCCGCGCCGAGGGGAGCCCCGGCTCTCCCAGCACAGTGCTCCTCACTGGGCATCGACGCCGTTCGCCTCCAGCATCGAAACGTTAACAGGCTTTCCGAGCTGGAAAAGCACAGGGAGGGAAGTGACAGAAAAAACCCCACAAAGACCAGAGGAGGCTGTGTTGGGGCAATGGTGCTTCCCAGCAAAGAAAACGAGTACCAAGTTTCCAAGGTGGGAAATATGAGTCAAAGATTTCAGCTCCACACCCAGCTATTTTTAAAAGCCCTTTCCGTTTCAGTGGTTGACTCAAAGTTGATTCTGCTCTGCAGCAGCAGCAGTGCTTTACGCCTCTGCCTTGACAAAGCAGAGCAATGCGGGGCTGAAGACTGACAGCAGTTTTCAGCTCCTGCTCGCACTGTTTCCCGACACGCAGCAGCACTGGGAACAGCTCACCACAACACTAGCACCTACACTGCCCTTTAGTTCCCACAAACTACTTTGCTAGGGTATTATGTATGTGCACTGAAGTGTGTGCAAAGAGACATTTCAGCTCCTGAGGACATCTCCTGCTGGAGAAGCACACTGTGATTGCTGAAGTGAGCACAACAAAACTCAAATGTTCTTAAGCAGCATTTACTCGAGTGCTTGGCTTCTCAGCAGCTACTTGTGGCCATGGTGCAGTTTGCAGAGCCCTGTTTTAGGAGGAATTCAGGATAAACTGATTGATTTGTCCATCTTTAACAGCGCTGACATTAAACACAGCAAAAATACCCTGCTGTGGTAGAAGGAATACCACAACACTTGTCAGTTCTGCAGTATTCTCCTCAAATAAGGCCTTCAAATGACGCTTATTTTTTCCCCAAACGCCTGGCAGTGGAGCACTTGGAGGGCACTTGTTGAGTGTGAATGTGTTGCGCCAGCTGCTGCACAAACGAACCTTCACTTGGCAACTAAGCTATACACTAACTCCTATGAACTGCCTCTTTTCCTTTAATACAGCCAGACATGTAAAACTAGACGGGTTGGACCATCTGAAATCCACAGGAATGACACACATGCATTTGTAATGACAACACTACAGTATTAAGACATTCCTTGTACCAGAAACATCTGCATCGGCATCATCTTCATTACTTCCGTCCCTAATCCTGAACGGGAAAAAATCAGCACTACTAACTTCCTCGGAAGGCAGTCTTAGTGCTTTACACGACCACAGGTAGCTACTTCAGCTGTTAAACAGCAACTTCTGCCTTCGCTAAAGCAACATTTTGGAGCCTCCCAAACTACGCTACCAACCACCCTTGCCACTTAACCAGCTCCTTCCTGAAAGGAGGAACGTAAGTGTGAATTATTTAGAGATCCCATACTCTGCTATTTTATCTTCAGCTCATGCACAGAATGAATTATTTAAGACATTAACGTGATGGAAACTTGGAAACTAATGAAACATTCATTTGCATCCTGAACACAAGCAGGCAGAACCAGCGATGCCATGAAAGCGCTTTGTGCAATGTAACCACGGATTTTGTTCCTAGAGAAACTGTTGCACAAAGTCCTCTATCTGAACCGCCTCATGCCTGCTCCGCTTCAGGACAGGCAGCGTGTGCGTGTGCCTGTGACAGCTCCACATTCCTGATGAACTTCCTGAAATACCCTGTTAATAATAAGAATGTAACACTGAAGCTAGAACTTAACAGTTCCTCAGTAACCATCAGGCTCCAAGGAGAAAATGAACAGAAGAACATAATAAAAAGACTGGCTGTCCTTCAAGAGAAGGCAGTTTTCACCCAACCAGGTACCTCAGGGCAGGATTTGTGCCCTCCTGCTATTTTGAGCCGTGCTGTGATGCCGGGATGCCAGCACAGCACAAGTCCATAGGTCAAATGTTCATTCAAAATGGACCTTATTATTTACACTCTGTTTCACCACTTTCTTCTTTGCTGTCTTTTCAGATATATTTTATTGCTTCAGAGTAAAACCAAACACTTTGACAATTCTTCATTTACATCTGGCATATTATCTCAGAAGCCTTATGGCAGGAACGTGCAGGGGAAAACAAACGCTCAGCCTGTACCGCAAGTGTAATTCCATGCACTGTTTGAAAAAGGGTGCTTTAAAAAACAAGCAAAGCATATTTATTGATTACAATACACTTTCAGCAGTTTTATTAAGCACTCATACAAAGACACACACAGAATTCCCAGCTGGTCTCAGTGCCCGGAGCCAGGCTGGAAGGGCAGGACCCGCACTCAGCCCTGTGAAACCCAGAGGACAGCTGCACATCTGGAACGTGGGCTCTCATCAGCAGCACTGGTGCAGCTCCCACTGCCTCAAGTGATCACTACTCACAGCAAAAGCACCATCCTCCTCCTCACAGAGCTCCCTGAGACACGAACCCAGGCTGGCCTCACTCCCTCCTCAGAGCCCGAAAACCTGCTGCTCCTACCCTTACCTATTTTCTTTTCCCATTTAAACAGGCACTAAAGTATACACTGCATTTAAATAAACGAGACAAAACCATGCCTCCTGATAGCTGTAATTGCGCTGCAGCCCTCAGCAGGAGCATCAGTGCATTTTGTATGTGAGGAACCTGCCTCCTCCATTCCAACCTCATGTGAATGAGGATGCTGCTTCAAAGGCACATTCCACAGTAATGGCCACTTCCATTTGTTTCTCTGCTCTTCCCAAGCACAGTATGTCCTCTACCATTTTACTACCTTCATGCCAGAACAGCACTTCAAACACCTTTTGATTTTCCAGCAGTAATTGCATCTCTGCCAAGCAGGGCTTCTGAGCTCCTGCTTCTACCACTGCTCCAGTGAGTAGTAAATTAAAGCCAATGTTCCCCGAAAACAGGGCTGCAGCAAGCACTCCACATGAACACCTAAGCAATTACTGTCCACTTCCCAACTAACAGGTTAAGAGCTAGAGTTAAAGAGCAAGTGAAAAGAATCCCTCTCCCCCTTCTCTGGAGGCTGGTTGAAATGGGGATCTGCATGAACCCCACAAACATTTAGAATAACTGTGGCATTCTCAGCCTGCCACCAAACATCAGAATTACAGCTTCCAGGTATGGCCATCGTGATCATTCTGGCAGGATGAACCCTCCACATGCAATAGTTAGTTATGGCCAGATATATCCATTACTTGTCTACCAAAAATGGGAAGGCAGAAAGCAAATAAAGAAAAGAACTCAAGGTATTATGTATATGCCTGGTGCTGTTTAAGTAACGGAGCATGGAAACCAGGAAGAACAGAAGAGTCCAATCCCTGGAACACCCCCTTGGTCATTACTGTTCTGTGGTCACTGTTTGAAACAGTACAACCAAAGTTTCAAGAAGCCCATCATTCAGTTGCGAGAAGAGCTTTCGGGTGACCCATCTGATTCAACATATTTAACAATGAAGGAATAACACAGAGAACAGAAATAACTGTAAAGTAACTTACCTTTGATTTTTTGTTCAATGGCCTAGAACAAGAAAAGAAAAGTGTCAGTGATGTGTGCAGATAAAACCCCTGCATGCACGTGCCGCTTCATAAAGCAACATTAGCTTCTGATTCCCCTCTTTTAACATGTTTTAGAGTTATTTAATTATCTACTTCAGAAGTGTCTCTAACCACACCATGCCTATTATTCTTCATGCTTAGAAAGCTGTTTAAATGTTACAGAAGACAAAATTAATTTGAAAGATAAGTACATGAAACAGACTGCATTAAACTTGCAAATGAAGATGTTTTGAGCGAGTTAAAAACTGTGCCTGGAAGCAAAGAACTGCCACCACTTTTATTGCAGAGGGAGGGACTAGACATGTAAAGAAGAAAGGAAATGCAAAGACTTTCCAAGTCATTTTCAAGACTCAACCGGCTACACCTATGATACTGCCAACATTAGAGAACTGTTTGACTAAAATTGCAATTAAAAATCACAGGATAAATACAGGGAGAGAAACACGTCTGGTATGGAAGCACACCTTAACTGCAAGGGTTTAACTATAAACCAGCAAAACTGAGTTCTCAAAAGCACAGCTCATAGTTCTCCCTACCTGCAACTAGAGTTTTCTTAATTATCACTATTAAAATGCACTATTGCCAAAGCACAACGAGATTTAATTGGATATGGTCACTCTGGTAGCCGTATACAGCCCATTTTAATTACGGTATCACATAAATTCATAGGAGGCAATAAATTTGCCGTAATACTTAAGCTATGATTGTCTATAATTGAAACTGTGAGGGGAATGGAGCACGTGTGCGTGCAATAGAGATTTACCGATCCATTGATCTAATCTGAGTCTTGGCCAGGTTCAGACACTAGCACTGGAAGGGCTGACTACCGAAACACTCACAACAGCTCTCCAGTGCCACAGCCTCACTTCTCCTATGGAAATCAAGAGAGCCTTAAGCCTTAACCCCCCCCCCAGCTTCTTTAGCTGACAAAGGCAAGTGTACACACAGAAACTGTAGCTGTACTGTCCAGGAGTTCAAAATGTGGCCCCCTTGCTCCCACGAAACCCTGAGCAGAAGCTTTTCAGGTTTCTTATTTATGCTCTTTGCTAGAAACAGCTGCAAATGGAGACCCTGCAAAGCCTCTTCCGAAGAACTCCACTTACTGCAGCGCATCAGCCACTGAGCTAGGAAACCAAAGCAGGGCTAACGCTTGCACCAGGGTTATCAAGCCCCCCACCCCACTTCAGTTTCAGTTTTGCCAATTTTACCCTATTACGCTGCTTCCAACACCACTGCCAGTATCCCCACCTGCCAGAAGGCAGCTCCTGTGCTTGGGGCCTCATATAACGCACCACAACTCTTCATCACACTCTTTGCTCGACAGATCTGGTTCAAAACTGTATTTTGAAGGCTTGGGAAGTTGTGTATGCACTTCAGCTCCTGGGTGTTGCATGCACAGGAGCTGGCTTTGAACCAAGCGTCCAAACCCCATGTGCATACCGTCATAAAAACGAGACTGGATGTCCCACAGAAGCTGCTCGGCATCAGGATGCAAGCAGAGAGCATGCCTTCTCCAGTTCAACCATCACACCTCTGCGACTGCTGCTGCTGTTCTAGTATGCCTTTTAGATCAAATTATCACAAAACTACAGAATACATAAACCCAAGCACCAGCTTTCTCTTCCACAGCAAAATGACACGATGTCCCTTCAGTTCTTGCCATGCCCATGTGCGTGTTTAGAGCTTACCCTGGAGAGCTGGTAACCTCCTCCCCTCCTCAGCTCTGACTTAAGAGCCAATTCACTGACCCATGAACAGCAACATGAGACAACCTAGAACTTTTCAAACAATTTTTTGCTGTTTCTGACCCTCCACAGCACCTAGAGACATGTGTGGAAGAGAAGAGGTCACATTCCAAAATACACCAGAACCTGGTCACAGTAAAATGCTTTAAAAGGCTTTGCTGGGGAGCCTGTGGTTGAGAACACAAACCAGGATGCTCTTAAGAGACACATCCAGCATTAGTCAGTGGAAATCAGAGGAAACTGCTAAGCAGGTTCCCTCTGCTCCCACCTGAAACGGACACGTTTACAAACACATTTACAAGCTCCTCTGAAGCTCAGGGTCAATATTAAGAATCAATGGCCATAATGAGTATCTTGACCGTAAACAGGACTCTGAATCATTCACTCTGAAGCGTTTCTGTGATGCTTCCATCCCAATACACCTCTGCTGTCAATATTTTCATTTTTATCCGCCTTCCTTCATACAAACTGTCTTATGACGCATGTTTCCATATGGAAGGATAAGAATATACAGTAAAGGAAGGATGCAGCTGAAAGTCACCATCTTAAAAAAGAGCTAATTTTATTCTACTAATAAATGCATTAACATTGAGGAAGTTTTTAAACGTGAAACCACTTCAACTGGGAAATCAGGAAAGAGAATGCTCATCTCAGAACATTTAACCTCTGACAAAATGGATCACAAAGCCAATAAAGATGTTCAATGTATCAGTTACCACTAAGTAACTGACAGCACATTTAAAGCTTAGAACATTAAATTAAACAGAAAACACTTCTGAATAACCACAGCTGACCCAGCATTTACCAGTGATGAAACTAAAGTAACCCAGAAGCAGGGCGGTTACCTTTGAATGTCCAACATACCTTTTTTTGAGCAGCTTCCTTCTTCTTCTTGTCTTCTTTTCTCTTTTTCCTTTCTTCCATCAACTGTTCTTCCTCTTCTTGCACAAAATCCCTGAACCACACAGTTTGTAATTAACTTCCCCAAAATACAATCTGTACACACTTACATTCATTTTAGAACAATTATTTCACAGTGACACAAAAGGACAGGGGAATTCTACTTCTAATTGGATAATATTTCTATAGGGACTGTGCAAACCACAAGTGACACAACGTGAAGAGCAGCTGCAGTGTCAGGCTACATGTAAGAGCTTCTTTTTCCAAAAGTTACAATGAAGGCTCAGCCATAAATCCCATTCAAAAGGCAGCACAAATTCAGATGTAGGTTAATCCCTGCCTGCTATTGTGCATTGCCATGACTGAGCACACACGTCACGGCTCACCCCGTCAGGCAATGGGTTCCCTGCAGCCACACAGACCCTTTGGTGCTGCCCCCACTGCCTGATCAGCTCCCTGATCCCAAACACCACCTCTGCCAAGCAACACCCCTTGTGTGCACTGTATGTGTGGCACTGTTGACATAAAGCACACATGAACTAGCTGGCACGTGAGCTGAAGAGCATGGGCACACCAGAGCTGTCAACAGCACAGCAATTCTGGAGCGCCTTAAACAAGTGACAAAACCATAACTTGACAGAAGTGAAAACAAACCCCATGGCATTAATCTGAATTCAGTTAATACAAGGTTTTACATGCTAAAACGGAAGGTTTAGCAGCAACAGCACTCTGCGGATTGCACTGTTTAAAAACAGACTTCAGCCAAGGCAAGAGGAAAGGCAGGACATGGGGAGTATAAAAAGCAGGAAGAACTGCAGAGGTGCAAGCACACTTGAAGCCATTAGGGACTGCAGGGACCAAGATGTGACACAAATGTCAGGATAATGGAAACAAACTTTTCTTTAAGGCCATGCTTGGAGAGATGCAGGGATTCTTGATAAGAATGAGGACATGACCGACAGAACAGACCATGGTCACGGGCAGGCACAAAAGCATCTGGGCTAATGGTGCAAAGAGCTCGTGGCAACATGAATGTGCAAGTGAAGATCAGTTGGTTGTGTTGTATATGAGACTAAAACCAACTGCTCACAGAAAGGATGATTCTGAAGTTTAGGAAGTAACAATAAAGCTGGATATAAACATCAAACAGTGGTGGCAGTTAGCTTTTGCTAGAGCACGGTAACAGGAAGACAACATACAGTTACTTAAGCGTTTGAGAGTTGGAGAACAAAGCCTTCCTGTAGGCTAGAAAGCCTATCTGCAAGAAATTCTCTGCCCTTTCAGGGTCAGGAGTATTTCTGAGTTCAAAGCTCAGAAGCTGTTGCCCCACCAGTGCTGACCATACAGTCAGGTGATGAAATTTAAAGAACAGGTTGAAGATGTTTTTCAGACCTCTTTCTGCAGCGTACATCTAGGGTATAACACACATCCCTCCCATTTCTGAATCTCAACATGAGCTCCACTGCACATCCACCCTGGGCAAACTGCTTCTTCACACCAATCCTAATTTCTGTGATACTCTGAGTGGGATGTGGGAACAAACTCCATACGTCCTGAGTAAGTAAAGGAAGAAGACACCAAGTTCGCTCTTTGAATAACCTTCAAAGATCAGCACAAGTCCTCTCTTTTAAAGGAACATTTCACATGCAGCTGGTTTTCTCCCAATCTGTACACACTCTAACCCATCAGCTGCAGCTCAAGTAACAGGAGGTGCTCGGATTCAAAGGTGCTGTGGAGATCTCTGGGCAGCAAAACTGATCAGAGACATGGAGGTGATTTACTGTGGCAAAAGAAAAGGCCAAGAAACAACTGCTGGAAGGGAATGAACACCCCTGTTTGTGATGAGTGGTCCTGTCTGGTGCCTATCTCCAGAATTCAGCTCTGCACAAGAAAAGCACTGCTTTTATCTTTGCCAAGATATAGCTACACGTCAGAAGCAAAGCCAATTGAATACAGTAAAAACCAAGGCACTCTGCAAATATTAGGACTTTCATTACTTATTTAGCTATGTAAGTAATTGGTGAATTCTACTTTTAAGACAGCTCAAGTCCCTTTTAAAATGAGTGCAAGTGCAGGCATCACTCTGGTTTGGTTTTGCCCTTTCTCATTTTTAGTTTTTAAACCCACATGTGCCTCCCAGGTGCCTGGCTCCACTGGGACAAATCCAAGCCACCGCCTCCCTTTTTAATTAGACAGAAGCTTCTTTCAGCAAGTGCCTCCCACTGCAGTGGTGTCAGTGTAAGCGATACTCAACAGCAGCTCAGCAGGTCTCTCCCTTACAGCAGCTCAGCACACTCTGCACTCTGTGTAACACTGCCATGCCCTGGGAAGAGAACGTACCCCCTTCCTGCTGCCCACCTGAGCTCTCCCTTTAAACTTTGAGCCTGTTCTTTTGCCCATTGTGTGATTCTTCAGCATGAAAAGTGGTTCCCCTCCCGCTAAGGTCAATGCTGCAATAACGATACTTGTATTTGAATGTCAAGTCGTGGCCACTTGGCTATTATTAACAGTGGTTTCAAACAAGAAGAGCTGTGGCAGTATTTTCACATGACATTCACTGTGGAAGAAGAGAGCCAGCAACATGTAAATTATTTATAGGGCACAGAAACTTCTGAGACTATTACCGTGAGCACACCAGGAAAAAAAACTCAGGACTGCATTTTGGCTAAGTGACTGAAGCAGTTTTCTCCAATCTATTTTTATTACTGCTAATACTGCCAGACAGCAGCTATGCTTTATCTGGATGGCAAAAATCAATTTGTCTGGGGGGAGGAAAGTTTTGTATTCCCAAACCAAGTATTTCTTAATTAGAAATCTCTTTTGTGACTTCTCTCTGTAAACAGAGTCTTTGGAACACGGTTACGTGTGTCTGTAGAGCAACTCACACAAACAAGAATCAGTTTTCATCCGACCTGTTGAAAACTTTACTCTCATTGCAACTCCAATTTCATCCTCTACTGATTTCTTTTCCCAGTGCTCCCTTCTTTTGGAATAACACTGATCTCTTGTACATCCAGCATCCTTTTTCTCCTCTCCCACTCTTGGGGTGACTTTTGGCCCATCAGCCCATGCTATGTGTCACCAGATGCAGCCTGGCATCGCAGATGTTTACCAGAGGAACAGCTGCAGCGTACTCTGACCATGAGCAGTCAAATACCACCCGACTCCTTCACCCTGCATACCCAGAGCAGCAGAGCAAGGCTCCCAAGAGTTTCCACAGGTCAGATGCTGTCTTTTAAGATTCTCTAATACCAGAGAGCAAGCATTAGTTAGTTCTTTTTTAAAGGAATTACTGCCGATGTTTTTAGGTTTGCAAAAAAAAACAAACAACCCTAAAAATGTTATTTCTGAGCCCCCTCTATTTCAGTTGCACTGAAAGTCACAAACCATCACATACACTGTGGCTGTTTGGCATTTGATCACAGTTTTATCATCTGGCTGCAACTAGTCTCACTGGAAATGCAGTGCTGCATTTGCAATTAGGGCTCAGAAATTATTTCATGGACAACTAAGAGGTTACTCACATACCCACAGAACACAGTCACGGTTGGCCAGTTTCATTTAAAGCAACCCCTTGGATGCTTTACAAAGCTGAGGTAATGATTAGCCCGCAGTGACACGTGTGCTCTGTAAAGGTGATGCAGAAGCCAGCTTTGTCCATCCTGACACCTCCCCATGACATCCTCTTTCCCAAGGGGAGGGAGCATGCTGTGATCCAGCCATCGTTGTGCAGCATCAGCCTGTTCTGGCCACTCTCCTTCCTGGGGTCCCCCATCCCCAGGTCTCCTCAGCACTGGCAGGTGCATGTCTGACAGGAGGCAGTGTCCAGGGCCAGGCTGGATGGGCTTGGAGCAAGCTGCTCTAGTGGAATGTGTCCCTGCCCATGGCAGGGGGTTGGGAGTGGATGAGCTTTAAGGTCCCTTCAATCCAAACCATTCTACAAGCCTATGAGGTGTACCAATGCTGCAGGGTGGTACACTGCTTAGGACTGTGGATGGGAACAAAACTTCCAGGGGTCCTAATAACCTGAGAAGATTTCCAGGAGGTGAGAAAGCCACTGATGCTCTGCCTTGTGTTACAACTTTCAGTGTGTCACAGCCGAAACGAACATGAACTGAATACACGAACTGAAAAACCATTCCGTGTTTGAAGCAAGCTGTAGCACTTTCAAGAGCAAGCAGAATGCAAAGTAGCATTTCACAGGAAAAAAAAGTAACTCGTCAATCCTGCTGCAGCCACATCAACAAGATCAGGTTTTATTTTTGGAATACAGATGCTAACACTAACACACCACGGTCTCTGGAATATTCTAGCACAGCATCAGCTTTTTGTTCCCACACAGGAGCAATAAAACTCCTAAATGATGACACCGTGATCATTCTGTTTTCATGTGTTTAAGAAAAACAGCTTTCAGATTACAAAGCCACGTTAAAACACATTGGAAACCTCTTGTGATGAGTATCAGGACCTTAGCAACACTTGAAAAACATTACCCACCTACAGTCCACGACATGTTTTTAAAAGTATTAGATGATCATTGTAATGTTAATTCTCAGTGACTGGAAAACAGAACTAACCCAACTGTACAGTTAAATAACAACAGTAACAGCCTTACTGCCCCTGCTCCTCACAGGAAACGGAATCTCTCCAGGAGGGCAGCCCTATTCCCACCACCCTCCCGCACAAACATAAACCTGAGATACAAATCCAGATTCACCTATTAAGTCATCACATCTGAAGCAGAGCTCCTGCATCGCCATCTCTGACAGCTGAAGGCGCACACTCCCTTTATTCTTGCTAACACATTAACACAGGCCCTCAACAGACAGCAAATGATGGTATTTATGCCTCAGATTCCAGCACCCATTAGAACACACCACAAACAAGCTACATTTTTAATGCTACTCCTTGAGAAACACAATGTTACGCAGTGTTTCCCATTTATCATCCCAGGCTTTAATAGCCACCTTTTCCCACTGTATTATTCTTTGTGTACAAACTATCAGCAGCTTCATGTTATTTTATAGCACGTAACAAGAAACACTGCAGGAATCTGGTCTCACAGTAACAAGACAAAGCCAGAAAACGAGCAAGTTCTTTTGCTGGGCTTTGCCCTACATAGGGGTAGGTTTAATCCACCCCCCTGTGTCAGAGGTGTCTGTCACAGCACTCTCAGTCCATCAGCTGGCCAAATGAAAAGAAACAACTGAGAACTGAATTTGGATTTATAAGATGAAGATATGAACAGACCTCTGTTATCGCCCATCAGTCACCCAACTTTCACTAAAACACAGGTACAGGGAGTTTCCTTTTCCTCCTGTATAGCTGAATCGGCTTGCTCAAGGTTAAATGGCCTTAGCAGAAATGCAAACCCTATTTTTCATTTTAGACCAGCTGGAAATTAAATACCTCATCATAAGAAATGCACATCTGAGGCTGGAGCAGAGGCCTGGGCTTTAAACAGCTTAACTTGAAAAGGGCTTTATGTCCAAGTGACACCGAATAAAAACGGATCTAGATCTCAGGAGAGGCTGCACATCAATGGCTCTGAGAGGATACAAGCAGAACCTGCCAGAATGTGCCTCACTTCAAACAGAAGGAGCATCAGATAAATATTGTTATTTACTGAAAAATACCTTTTCTTTGGGTGTGCACCTCAGCAATATTCTTGTTTGTGTACGTGGAAAAAAAACCAAGCTACCAAAACACCTTCCTCAACTAACCCATTAAAGTAAGCACTTTTTCGTCTTCTAGAACAGTATGACTCTGGCAGGACAGAGTGATCTTGGTGATCTTTGACAGCAAGTCTCCCCCTTCATCACCATCACAATTGTGCGCCATTAAACAAGAGCAACCACATTCTGACTTCCACAGCCAGCACTCCTTCAGCTCTCCTCACTCCTTCTGTGTCTCAGGTTTTGATGATGCTAGTTTTATGTACAGCTTGCCTTGTTACTTGGCTTGTGAACTGGAAAAAAGCTGTAACCTCACTGTGTAAACATTTCAAGTAATATTTACAGCAAATCATATTTCACTTACTGATTCTTGGAAAAAAAGTTCTATTCATCTTTAATTTCAAAAGCTCCAGCTCGGCACTGCAAAAATACCTGGGCTGAACTAGACATATTTAATCTCTATTCCTACATTAAGGAGTAGGAGAATCCAGGATACCCTTATTTTCCTCGAAGACATGCTGAAGATGTGATAATTACTGTCTGTGCAGCATGTTATCTTCTGTTATAATATACAAAAGGGAAACATGTTATGCCACAATAAAATTGCAATTCCAGTCACCTCGCTGAGGAAATTACAGTTATGAGCAGGATTCTGACACAAACTAAGCCCTAAGACACGGCACTGCATTATTACAACCTGAACTCAATATTCACCTCTGAGTGAAAGCGCGTGAGTTGCACACGGCAAACTCCAGCACCAAAATAAACCAGGCTGCCATCCACTGTGAACACATTACCTGGTGTTCCCCAAACCAGAACCACCCACACAACAGCACTGTGCTTTCTGCATTCTGCAGGCTGGCACTAACTGCTAGCTCTGCCCTCCACAAACGCTGCTCAAGCTGCCGGCAGCATTCCAGATGCTCACGCCCAGCAAACCCCCTCCAAACCCACACCACCCCACAAGATGATGCTAGCACGGTTTAAAGATGCTGCTTCCATCCCAACAAGTGCTTTTAGAAGCCTTGAGGCTGTGAAGCAATTCTCCCAGAAGTATGTCTGCAGTGGGTCTCCTCTGAAGCACCCCGAAGGCTGCAGACATGCAGGGGTCTGGTGTCATTGCAATGTCCCTGCATGCCGAGCAGAGAAGGACCACTGGTCATGGGTCTCACAGGGGAACTGCTTTGCCGTGGGCAAAGAGCAGCGAAATCGCCAGCCTCTCAGCAGCCCTTATTCTAACTGAACCTGAAAAGATAACTACCAGGTTTTACCTTCTGCCTGGATACTACATGGAGTAAGCATAAAAGTAAGAATCAGAAGTGATTATACGCTGGGGCTTTTGAAAGCACTCTAAAAGCTTCTAGTGTCAAATATAAACCAGGAATTTTGGGGGAAACAAACAAATTCTTTCCCCCATTTGCTGCTCTTTTTGTTACACATGAACTTGCCGTGCTACAGGTGCAACACTGCCAGATAGCTGCATTTAAGTGTCTGGCATTGAAAGATCCCTCACAGTTCTGCAAAGACAGTAAAGACGGAGGGATGGATGCACACATGCTGCTACCTAGTCAACCTGTGTGTGACATTCCACACTGACTGTCAAACATTGCTGAGGCTTTATGTTTTGATAATATTTCTGTATTCTGACCTGCAAGTTCCCTAATCTTTATTTTTTAAATTATGCAATTACACACATGCCAATAAAAATTATTTTTTAACCCCCCAACAGCTTTTCTGCTAAACCATCATTATATAAGAATTAACTGTAAAATGTGGATTTTGATTAAAAATGGAACCTCTAAGTCCTCTGCCAATGCTTCCCACAAAACAGCAAACAGAGCAAGTTGATGGAATAGAAACCAGTGCTTTGAAGTTAACAAAGAAACAAAACCAACAAACCCCACCAGTGCCTTAAATGGAAAGGCTCTGGCAACCAAAACCACTCAGTGTTTAACACAGGAGCAAAGGAAGCCTCAGGCACCAATAACAAAACAAAACCACTTTACACAAGTGCCTGTGTTGTTCTTTCCAGCTATTAACACATAGAAGAGGTGCTGCCAAGCTAAAAATTGAAACAATTACTCCAGTGAATAATTAATTCATGTTTGTCAGCTACTTTCTGTTCTGCTTTTTGTACCTCAGTCTTTAAATTATCACCCTAAAAGTGATCGAATTCTACCTACCAGATCTCCCTCTACCAATTGCTTGAACACACTCACCTCTCCCACTCTGCTAATACAGGAGCTGCTCACCAGAACTAACTCCAAACTACAAGCACTGTAAATGCATCCTAGCTCTGGAGTAGCATTTGTGTTAGTTTCACCCTGAAGTTTCATCAAAGATGCTCACTGCCACACAAGCATACAAAAGACAAATCTAACAAATGGGGAACCGAAGGAGGCAGATTAAACTGCTGCTCCATAATCACACTGGTCACACTGGGTATCTGTAACAGATGCACAAACCCAAAGGACTGTTCAAGTCCAGCATCTTAACCATAAGACCACCCATACTCCAGACTGCTTCAGTTTTATTAGCACCCTATCAAGTATATGGCACAACGGCCTTGCTGTAAGCCTAGGAAAACAGAAGGTAAAATGCAAGTTATCTGATGGGGACAACCTGATGATTTTGCATGAGCTGAAAAAGTGTGTGGAGAGGAGAAAGGAATGTTTGATTTTGCCCAAATATCTCTAAAACTCTTGAGAAGTATGAACAGATGCTGTCTTTGCAGTAAACTCTTCCCATTTGCTGAAGTCTTCCATAAGAAGTTTATTAGGAAAAAAACCCAACAGAAAACCAAGAGCTTAAATATCAACAGACACAACTCCATTTCTCACTGTTTCTCTATGCCTCTGTCACTGAGCCATCTCATCGGTTTCCTGCAGCCCACAAGGAAAGCCTCATGGAAATATGGTGGTTATTGAACATGGAAGAGTAAACCAAATAAATTGTACAGTAAGAACTTAGGAGATACATGGATGGAATCTAGAGGTAAGCATGATTTTAGGCAAAAAGCTTTCTCCCCCAGGACATGGGCAGCCTGCAACCAATGCAGATGGAACCTCTGAAGCAGAAACACAGGTGAATGAAAGCAGTGGGTGAACCTTCCCTATGATTTGCATGCGTGTGAAGTGAGAGTCAAAACCCTGGGTTTGGGGAAAAAAATATTGTAAACATACTTCAGATATTTACCTTCTCTCAGTTCCACATAAATGAGGCAGGAAAGCCCTGTTTACCAAACAGAAGTCAACAGTTAGGTCTAGAGTCAAAAGAACTAAATGGTGATTTTTACTGGTCCTGATTTTGACCAAATGTAGCTCTTGCATTTCTCCAGTCATTAACGGACAGCTCTGGTCCAGCAGGAGACTGAAGAGGCGACATTTAACTCTTAAACAGGACACAAGGCAGTGCGCAACAGATTTATCTGAATTACTGATGCAAATCATGCACTCCGCTCATTTCTGAGACCAGGAATATTTGCACAGGACCGGGCACGCAGGCATTTAAAAGAGAACACAGACCAAATGAAGATTCTTTTCCAAAAGGCCAAACAAGGCAAATTGCTAATCCCGAGTTTAAAGCAGTAATCACTGCAACTGGATAAGCAAGCTCTGGTAAAACCTAGAACACATGTTCTATCGCAAACCCACAGTCCAGGCCAATATTCCCAGTAAGATAAAAGAAGGATATTTACTACCCATCAGTTTATAAGCACAGACTCCAAAGGTGACTTCAGCATGTCCATGAAGCCACACCAACGTTCCCTGGAGCCTACAGTCTATATATAGACTCCGCAGTTTTAGATTAAGAACAACCGTAGCATGGGTCTATTTGCCTTTCCCAGGAAAAGCTATTTGCTCTCTCACGATTTGACTGGGTCACTGCAAATTTAATAAGATCGTAAATAATGACATTAGAGAAAGAATGAGGGCTATCTGCTGAGTTCTACAACTGGAACACTATTAATCAGGCTATCCAGAGCAGGCAGGCCACAGTTTTATCAGCCTGTGTGCTCACACGGTGGAAACTCCCTCCCTGAACATAAGCAGGTTTCTGAAAACAACCGGTGTATTAACGTTAACTTGAAGCTAGCTCTTTTAAACACATGAAACACCCACCTCTGTGTCAGAAAACACACAGACCATTCCAGAGCAGAGCTCAGTGAACCTTGCTCTGCCCCCATGCCCCAGCGAGCGCTGAGCTGCAGCAGTTCTGTGGGTCACTTTCTCTTCTGTCACTACCTGTCACGCCTGCCAGTGTGCCCAGAGGCCTCTTAAGGTCAGAAAACTGTGAAGAACTACCAACTTACTAAGACTTCACCCGACTATTGCTTTGTTAGCACTCTGTCCATCCCAAAATCGCTCCTGGCACCATGGCCACACCAAGTGCTTCCCAGCACACCAACCGTTCCATTTTCTATTTACACAGCATTTTGGTACCTTTTCAGGACAGATTCCTTCAAGAGCTGCAATTTAAAATCACTCTCTTCAAGTAAAACCCATTTACCAGTGACTTTGACATTGCATTTAAAAGCAATGTGCTCAGTGTACCTTAAAGACTGTAGGTATTTCAGCAACAAAATGGGGAAAACTAGTCATGCTTAAGCACAGTACCAAAACCAAGGAAGACACACACTGCCAGCAAGATAGAGGCAGTCAGTTTTCAGTGTAATCATGAATCAACCTGGACACTGGAGACTGATTAGACATGGTAAATAAGAAAAGGTGCCAGAACTGACTATTCTATCAGTTACACTTAGGTTTCAGCAGATTTCAAACAGCCCTGCTAGAAGGCCCTTTGAAGTTCAGCTGCAAAAGTCCCTTTAGGTCTGACTGAAAGAGAACACAAAAAGAACGTAGGACAGAATTCAAACCCAAAGAATGCAACCAACGGGAAGAGGCAGGTATCTGCAAGGAAGGCACCGCACTAAAAACAAACGGTGCGCAGGAAGTAACTTCTGAAGCACCAAAGGCATGGATGCTACTGGCACAGAATTCCCAACAAAACTCTTACTCCTGAGCTGAGGAACTGAGAAAGGGAGCTGAACAGTCTGCAAAGTTCTCAAACAAGAGCTACGTGCTCATGGGAAACTCGCTGTGTTTAACTCCTCATGGAAAAAGAGGCAAAGAGCTAAGAGTTACACAGCAACATAGAGCTTATTTGAGCTTAAAGCAAGGTTCTTGCCAAAAGCAACTACTTTTGGCCTCCCAATAATATTTACCTGAACTTTATAGAAAAAAAAAACCCTAACCAAGCAAGCCTTTAATTGAATTCTCAGTTATTGCTGGGTGCCACATGTTAGGACAGAAAAGCAAGTAATTCTTCTCTTCAAAACCCTGCCCTATTAAAGAAACTCTGTTCTAGAGCCTGATATTGTTATTATGTAAAGAAGGCACGCTAAAAAGGTGTTTATAGAATTAAATAAATTGCAGGGATTTCTCTATGCAGCAGAAGACATTTTCAAATTCAGGGTGGTTTTTCTCCTTACAATTAACACGAGATTAAAGCTCCAGATTAAGCCCACAACGATTTCTAGCCCAAGGCCAATTCTTGTTCCAAACTGTAGGAGTGAATACAAATGAGCATCTTACCTGCTTAGTTTTCTTTCGACTTCTTTGGTAGCTTTGGCTTCCAATTCTCTGGAACAGAAAGCGGTGTCGGTTTCCATGTCAACAGCAATGCAGCACGAGGCAAAAAATAAACCAGGAGCGGGGTTAAGGTGCCCTCAGGGCTCCCAATGCGGGCTCCTCCGGAGCAAACGCACGCTGCCGAGGACCCCGGGGCTGCTCGCCCAGGGGCAGGGAGGCGATGGGGCACGGCCGGCAGCAGCCACCCATCCTGCGCTGCACACCCGAGCGCTCGGAGGAGAACAATTCTGCTGCATCACTTTACCCGAGAACTTGCCCGCCCTGCCCTGCCCCGCCACCACCGGCCACAAAGGGCTGCCCGCCCCGCGGAGCGAACAATGCCGAGCCCGGCGGGGCAAAGCTCGGCCCCGCGGGGAAGCCGCTGCCTCCGGCAGAGCTCCCCCCCCCCCCGGCCCCAGCCCCTCCCGCCCGGGCGGGCTCCGTGCCCGCAGCCCCGCTCCAACCCGGGCGGCCGCGGCGCTCCCCCCGCCGCAGCAGGGCCGCCCCGAGGGGCTCCCCCCGCCGCCCGGCCCCTCCCCACCCGCCGGGTCCCCGCTGCGCCTCGCCTCGGCGGCCCCGCGGTACCTCATGTATGTAAAGTGCTCGGAGTCCGTCCCGGCGGGGCTGCGGCGCGGGCCCGGGCTGCCGCGGCGGCTCTATGCGGGCGGGGCCCGGCACTGCGGAGCGGGAGGGCCCGGCAGCTGCTGCAGCACCGCCGCCATTTCCTGCCTCCTCACCCGGCCCGGCCCGGCCCCGCCGCACAGGAACCGAAACCCCACCCCGGGCAGCGCTTCCGGGGCACCGCTCGCGCCCGACATGGCGCCGCGGCAACCGGCCCTAGCAACGGGGCGAGGCGCCGGGCCTGCCGCTGAGGCGGGACCGGGGAGGGACGAGCCCCGATCACCGCCACCGGGCCCGGCCCCGCCGAGCGCTGCTCTGGGAGGGTCTGTCCGGAGCCCGCAAGGGCCGCGGCGGCAGCGCCCGGGGACGGGGTGACCCCCGCGGGGCGGGCAGCGGCCGGTGCTGGAGCTCAGCGCAGCCGCGGGGCTCCTGCCGCCCGCTCCTCCAGCACTCCGCAGCGGGCACGGGCAGGGTGCGACACGCGCTTCTTTCCCTGCCTGAGCAGCTCTTTGAGGTGCCGCTGGTGCCCTGTGCCCAGCTGTGCGGGGTCAGTAACCGCAGTGATGGAGGACAAGTGGTAGAAGTGCGAGTAACCACCGCAGTCTGACAGAGCGGTCTCTGCGCCTTCCACCGGCTTTGTGGGGCGGAGGGAGGGGATGGAAAAGTATCCGGCGCTTGCAAACCGAGGTAGAAACTGATCTGTGAGAGCGCACGGCTATAATCCCCAGAGTACACAGAGGGAGGCTAACGTCAGGTCCATAGAACGGAGAGCGAGGGAGAGCTGAGCCGGGTCCGTGCCGCCGCGCTTGGCTTCAGCAGCAACATCCCAGAAATGAATTTGGAGAAGGCAAAGGACTGACAGGGAGTAATGGGGGGGAATTGAGAACCCCAATGTGAGGAAGTCGCACGGTACAGAGTGGCAAGACAGCGTGTTTTAAGTGCTTTTAACGTTTTAAAGTGTTATTACTGGCGCCAATAAGAAATGTAGAATAAGAAGCTTGCTTAGAATATTGCTTTGCAACTCTTGAGTGCATTTAACGTACGTGCATTCCAAAACATGATGGCTCGTTTCTGCTTCCGATTTCCAGTGCCTACAGCGAGATGCAGATGTGCAGCAAACTGATAGCGAGTGACTACAGGTAATGGGTTTCTGCTTAGAAATGGAGCTGAGAAGGAGTTTGTGTAGTACAAGTACACCGGTAGTGAGGGTGTATCACACTTGTAGCCACATCTCTGCCAAACAGCCTTAGACAGGCTGTTGAGCTGTACCAGTGTGGCTGTACGCTGTCTGTCCACAGGGCTGGGTTCCTCCGGTGCAGAGCTGTCGCTGGGGTGGCTGTTACTGCACGGAGCTCTAAAGAGCTGGCTCAAAACACCCCAGCAGCCTGCACAGCTGCTGTCCAACGGGTTGATTGTTATTGGAGGTGCTACAGAGCTGCTCAGGAGTTTAATCTGCTTCTCACTATTTGCATGGAAATAAGCATCATCCTGTCTGCTGGATTGCAAGGGCTACTGAGGGAAGGGCGTTTGTTGGCATAGGGAAGTTCTTGGTCTCATTTTGCATCTGGCTTGCACATTATCCCAAGTATTTTCCAGCCCAGTTTCAGTTGGCCTTTACCATTCCTGTTAAAGCTAGTTGAGAAATGAATGCTGTTCTGTTCACCTGCAAAATAAATGGATGCTCTGGACAAATGAGCAATCGTCTCTGGAAATCTGCTGCAATATCAACTGTCTTTCTGCCAACACGAATGGAGCAGGGCATTTTTCAGCTGAAGAGGATCCTGCATTATTAAAGATGAGCATTTATGACAACATAGCATAGCCAGTAAGGTGGTTTTGTCCCCTTCTTGGAGGCTTAATAGTACAGCATGCACTGCTGTGAGCCGAACATGGACATACTTAAAGTGATTGTATTATCTTTGATGTACTTAAAAGGGCACTGACAATTTGAAACTGGTTTCCCAGCTTCTATTAATAACTCAGAAGTTGATTTGGCCCTATTTATTTTTGTTCATATGAAAAAGTTGGGATTGCCATGTAATAGTGTGTAACTGAAAGTCATTATTTCCTGACGTGTGATTCAGCTTCCTGTTACCGTTTCATTCACAGCACTTCTCTTTTATCTGTCTTTAATGGCTTGATGTAGGAGGACTGCCGTTGAGTCTGTCCTCAGTTAAGAAGGCTAATAAATGTTATGTCATTTCGTTAACTGCATTATGCCACTGTCAATAAAATTCATAGTCAAGGTCTGTAGCTTTCTTTATTGTTTTAGATTGTTCTCTAATTTTATTTATGCACATGCCCCTAGCAAGTAGACCGCAGCACTGATTGCTTCCATTCTGCCTTGTAAATACTACAGCTGGCTGTGCACTGTCAGCAGATCCTTTGCATTTACCAACCCTCTGCTACTTACCCCACCACCTCCTTGCATTCGAGTGGCTCCAAAGCACTGTGGTCATACGTGAAATTAGGGATAATGAAACCACTATTCAAGGGCGAACAACCTGCAGCTGCCAAGGATGGATCTGTGCAGTTACACTTCCACCACTTGGTAAACATGCCCTTCTGGGCAGTGGTCCCCAAATGCCTTTACCCGGCAACAGCAGGCTCCATCTGCCCCCCGCCAGCCTGGCACGCACCCGGCTCCTCCCGCCTTCACATCCCCATTAGCTTTTTAATTAGGATTTCCACACAACCAGGGCGAGAGACGGCGCTGCGGGAGGCAGGAAAGGCGCTGACTGAGAACAGTTCAAACCGAGCTGGCGCCATTTCAGTGCTTCCCATCCCCTCCACCCTTCCCCTTCGCCTGCGGTTTGCTGTCAGGGCTCCACGCAAAATGAAGGCTTCAGCGTGGAGCTGCAAAGCCGACGCGATGTAAGACACTTCCTGCTTAATGTCTGGGCAAAATCGAGCAAGGCGCTGCCTTTTTTCAGGCGACCTGAGAAGAGCAGGCCTGGCAACGTGAGGATTTGCTGTCAATAACCCTTTGCCGCTTGTTCCATTCAGCATCATTGCACAGAATGAAGACGCTGTCACGAGCACAACAGATTGTTTTCAATATTGCACTTGACTCAAACAATCCAAATGAGCTGATGTGACAGACAAGGGAAAACAGTCTTCTCGCTAACACAGAGCTCTGTGTGCTCCTGGCTCGCAGGCTCATTTCCTTGTTCACTGTGGAGCCTTCATTTACAAGATTTAAAAATAGCCCAGGCGATGGGAAGAAGTGGCGATCTAAAGGTACAGAGCAGCAGTGCTTACTCAGGAAAACAGTGCCTGCTTAGGAGCTCAGTTAAGTCAACCAGATTCTTTGTTAGCGAGGAATATCTGGGTCTCTGTAAGATGCTTCATTAGGAAGAAGAAACCCCAAATGACAAAGTTGGAAGTCACTAACAGACAGCATTTGGCTCGCCTTCCAAACAGAGCAAGGAAGCAGCAGCACCTTGTGCTAAGGCTTGTGATTAAACAGTGCCTACTCCACAGGCTGCGGCAGCAAACAGCCATTAGATCTGTGCTCAGGAGAAGCAGCAGCGCTGCCTTTCCTCCAGGCTCCCTTCCCAGCATTATCACCCTCACACAGAGTGATCCGAGCAGGGGACAGCAGGCACTTGACGTTATTAAATGAGAATTTAATCCTACCCTTTAAATCAGCAGAAAAGTAGAAAAGATAAAGACTTTCCCTGTGCTTTACAGCTAGTGCAACTTGCTTCCCCTGATCTGCGCTTGGGAAGGCTGCCAACTGCAAAATGGAATCGCTGAGCCTGGATTTCACTCTGCATCCAGCCAATTACGCCATCCACACATCCCCGGCCCCTCAAGTGGTGCAGTGCAAGAGACGTTTCCAATCTCCATTTATTTACCAGGTCTGCAGCGCACTCCAAAAGGAAACCACAGCGATGGGCTCACTGCGGCTTCCCCTTTCTGCCAGTCCCTGCGCTCTGTTAGCGGTACAGCCCGGTCCAAATGACTGGTGGGGCTGGTTCCAGAGTCACCCCTGGTTCTGAAGGGTCCCCTTGAGGTGCTGCCACCACAGCAGGTCCAGCCATGTGTCCCCTGGGCATTGCCTGCCACTGCATCCAGCTGAGCACGGAGCCTGCCGGGTCACCGTGTGCTGGTGTCCCTTTCGCAGGCATGGCTCTTTCTAGCATGTTTGTAGGTTTCAGGAGGTAGTGGGGCACTATTTGGAGAGCCCACAGAGCTACAAAGCACTGCCCTTCTTCACCACCAGCAGGAAGATGTGGATGACGCACGCAGGACCCTCCAGTCCCAATATTTGCCATGGACTCGTGCAAACGCTGATGTTCATGGAGGAAATGGCTTCCCTCACCTTCAACCCCCCAGCTACATCCAGGGCACAGCTCAGGCCCCTGATCTGGGCTGGTGAACTGGGGAGCAAATGAGCCACAGGAGAGGGATGGGAGCCGCAGTGGGCAGCTCCTGCCCTCTCCCTGAGGGATGCACACCCTGCCTGGCCATGGGCTGCTGTTTATGTACATCTTGTCTGTTCTCCATCACGTTTAACAGGGGTAAGCCTCTCTGTAATCAATGCTTATTGATTGTCTAACTCAAC